CTTCACTTTCTGCTCTGGGAGCAGAGAGCCAGGAGGTCCCCCCTAACCTGCCATTTTTTCTATTGATCCAGTAACCCCACTACTGAGTATTTACCCAAAGGAAAAAAAGACATTCTTTAAAAAAGACATCTTTACTCAAATGTTTATAGCAGCACAATTCACAATTGCAAAGATGTGGCAACAACCCTCGTGTCCATCAATACATGAGTGGATTAATAAAATGTGGTATCTGTATACCATGGGGTACTACTCAGTCATAAAAATAATGGTGAACCTCTCTAGATGTGTATTAGGAGAAGTGTGTACAGAGGTGCACCCAAAACATGTGCAAGAATGTTCACAGCAGTATAACTTGTAACAGGCAAAAACTGGGATTAACCCCAATGACAACAGTAGAACAGATAAACAAATCATAGCATATTCATGCATAGGATATTATGAAACAATGAGAGAGAATAAATGAACCATTCCTGTGTGTAATAGCATGGATGAATCTCACAAACTGTGCTGATAGCAAAGGACTACATACCTCTTGTGTTAACCTGGGTGCAACTGGAGCCCATTCTTCGAAGCAAAATATCACAGGAATAGAAAAACAAACACCACGTATACTCACCATTAAATTAATACTAATCAGTCAAGACTTATGTGCACATATGGAAGTAACATTAATCAGAGATTGGTCAAGTGGAGAAGGGGAGAAGTGGATGGGTAAATTCAAACCTAATGGCTGTTTCGCGTGCTGTCTGGGAGATGGGCACACGTATAGTTTTACCTCAGGTGGTCCAAGGCAATTTATGTTACCAAAGTGCCTGTACTCCTATGATATTCTGAAATTAAAAAATAGAATCCAGTGTTAACCTTCTTGGATTCAATTATGTCCTGTTTTATGCATCAGGTTGTTAGCTATTGTCCCCAATATATTTGAATTCAGAATATTTATCTATATCCCTAGATTTCTTTTAAAGAGCCATTTTAGTTGATTTATATTATTGTCCCTTTTCATTATCATGGTTTATCAGTTAGAATACTTTTGGCTGCAAGTAACAGAACACCCAACTATGCATAGTTTAAATAGTAGAGATTTATTTATAAATCTCGCATACCAAGAAGTCTGAGGTTAGGCAATCCCAGGCTTGATTCATTAGTTCATTGAAGTTATCAAGGACCAATTTTTTCATCTTTCTGTTCTGCAACCTCCAGTGTGTTAGGCAGTCTCTATTTATGGTTGTAAGATGACTGCTGCCATTGTATGCATCAATCCTGATATAGCTAAGCAGGAAGAAATAGGGCTATGAGGGAAGACAGTCCTTTTCTTTTTATCAGGGAAGAAAACTTTCTGAGATGTCCCAGCAGACTTCCCTTTATGTCTCATTGGTTAGAATCGTGCCACGTGGCCACTCCTAGCTGCAAGGCAGGCGGGGATAGCACTGTTTGGCACTTGCAACCTCTGTTAGGAGAAGGAAGTTGTTTGTTGGGCTGGTGAGGAGCAATTTGTTGTTAGATATGTAACTACCATTGTGTGTTTTTCATAGGTAATTTATAGCTAACTGTAATGTCTCAGAAAGGATATAGATGAAAAAGGGTAATATTAAGTATGCCCATAGTAAATTGTATATATGAGCTGAAATGTTCCCTTCATATGACTTGTCTCTCTGATAATCTTAATGCTAGTGTGTTTATGAAACCTCACTACATGTCAGGACTTTCTAAGTGGGCCACAGTGAATTTGCTCCATAATGGCTGGAAGTTTCAGGAAAGTAAATTTTGGTTTAATAGAAGGAAGAATATTTCTGAGAGAGCTATAAGATGGCTACTTTCAGAAAGTGTGGGGTCACCTATCACCAAAATTTTTAAGCAAAGCACTTTAGTGACAACAATAATTTATGGATTCCAACCGAAAGAAACTGAGCCTCATGATAAAGGCCAGTGGAATTTTGTAGAAGGAATTCATGTAGAGGTTAGATAGATAATTAGAGTTAGACTCTATCTGTGATTTATATCCCTTTGTATCATATTTCTTACTAAATATTCAAATACAGACTTAATTTCCACCATAATATAAATAAATTTTTAAAGATTGCCATTTTTCAAAAATGGCATGCATATTCTCATAACATAATACTAATACCATTGAGTAAATATTTTACTGGTATGGTATTGTAAAACAAAGAGATCATTTTTAGAATAAAATAGAATTATTGGTAATAAACAAGTTACACTTGTGGATCAAGGTGAGCTAGGTAGATAAAAATTATCTGTATTAACATATGGAATGAAGGTTCATCTCATGAAACTGCCATTTTATTGATGGGCAGAAAAGAGAAGGGGAGAATAAAGTACAATGATGGATATAAATTAAAAGCAGGAAGTAGCATAAAATATACTTGCCAGTAGGTGGGAGAAATAGTGGATTTTGAGACACACAGCATTAATGGTAACTTGTCATGATGACCTACAGGGAAAATATATAGTAGCTATGATCAATGTACTATGAACTGACATCCTGACAAATGTGGACTTGAGGAGACAAAGCAAGAGCAAGAGAGAAAATATCCTAATGAAAGCCTAGTGTCCCAACTGGATTGCATCTGTGTTTGTTGCCCTACCTCAATTCCCTCTCTGTCTTCTCTATATTTTCTCTTCCTGGAAACTCTCCTTACTTCTTTTTCTCTCTTTCTACCCTATTCCAATTCTGTTTCCTTTTCTTATCCTTTCTTCATTTCTTCTCCTTGACAATGATTATTGCTCAGCAATCCAGGTGGCTGTAAGGTCAGAGATCTCTGATTTTAAGCAGGTTGAAAACTGCATTGGTAGCGGTATGTTTCAAGCAAAGATTTTTCTTTGGAAAATAATAAAACATTATGAAACTTAGCACAAAGAATAACAAATAGTTCTTGGAAATAACAAATAACTGTGACTAAACTCAAGCAGTATAAAACTCATAAACAATTCATGCATGTTCTGCATATAAGATGGGAACCAACAAATGTACAACCAAGAAGTTAACTAGTAATTTATATAGGCTGGAAGGGAAAAGTTCAAAATCCATGCTCACTTATCTGCTATAAAAACTATTTACAATCTCTGCTTGCTGATTGCCTCTCATAACTGCAGTAGTCTTTTAAGTGTGGTTGTCAGCACTGCTTGAGTTTCTTCTGCCTTGCTCTTAACAGTGATGGATTGCATGTTTATACTGGCTCGAATTCTGGGGTTAATCTCTTGCTCTTTTCTGACTGTACATTGTGGACAACGTAAGAAAAATTTTAATTGATTTATTTCTATATATTGAAGATGTAATGAGTTAATAATACTTTAACCTTTAGAGGTTATCAATAATGTGGTAGTATCTAGGCCTAAGGAACTAGACAGTATTTCAAGCAAAGGTTCTGTTTTTTAACATTTACAAACTGGAAGTATCTGATTGTCTTAGGTGTTTATTTTTTAGAAGGGCTAAATAATTTTTTCTCTTGAAGCTAACATGTTTGTCTCTGATCTCTGAGATAAATATAAAAAATTCTGTAGTCTAATAAATAAAATTTTTTACTTCTGTCAATATTAGTAATTGTCTTAGGCTGCTTATATTTAACTTTGTTTCTCAGAATGTATAAAGGTTATATCTTATTTTTCAGAAAATTTTCAATCTGAAAAATGTTCAGTACAAACATGTACTTGATATAATAAAAAATGCGAATTTTTGTAAAAGAAAAGAGATAGCCAAAGAAATAAATTATATAATCACATCTGTATATAAAACAGAGCCTATAATCTTTACCAATCCAAGAAATACAATTCTTTTTCTAAATATTGCCTGTTGAAAACAGATGTGACTTAAATTACTCTGAAGAATATTAATTCTGGAGAGGGATTTTTGAAACACTGGGTAGTTAGATGGTCAATGGAGCATTTTGGTCAGCTAAAGTTGTTTCCATATTCAGAAATGAAGACTGAAACTTTTAAAGTATTGTACTGTGATTTTGCTTTAACATTGCATTATAATTTTCTGATGTCACCCTTTTGTTCCTTTTAGCAATATGTTTATGTAGTAAAATCAGTGTGTCATGTTTTACATTAGAAAAACTATGCTCTACAGAGGGTAAACAGATTCCTTTTGGATCCTATAGACTTGATCTCATCAAAGGCATTTCCTCTTCTTGCCTTTCAGAGGCCTGGGATTCAGACAATCTGAAATCTCACTTTATGGAATCTCTTCTTTGTATTTAGGCTAGCAGAGGGTCAAAATGGTTCTCCATTTCTTTGAATTACAGTTTCTGTGAATGTTTGTAGGTTCTGTAACTCGTAAGAAACTTTTCTACTCATTGATTTTCAGTCTCTAGAAAACTTTTTCTCAGTTCAGAGTGGGGCTGGGGATACTGCAGCCATAGTCTTGGGAAAACAACTCTCCATAGTGACCTTGGAAATATAAAAAAATCATTAAGAGTTGGAGCTGAGGTGCAAGTTAACCCCAGTAGCCTACTAGTAGGGTGACTATTTATCTGTCTAAATCAGGGCACTTCTGGAGTGAAGATAGCACTATTAACAATTATTCCAGGAGAACAGTCATAAACTAGAACTGTCCTAGCAAACCAGTATGTATGTCGACCCTATATTTGGGTACTGTAAATTGTTTTGTCTTCCCTTAGCCAGAAGATGATACTTAAATTTATCCCAAAAGAACTTTATTTCAAATATTACGTGTTTTTGGGCTATAATGCTGTGTATTGACTTTCTTTTTAAAGCCATGCTGTGATAATCATCAGGTATAAAATAATGGTAAGAAAACATGTTTTGATATTCATCTTGATTTTTGAAGAGTAGTGCTTGATAATATAATATTAGAACATTCCCAAAGTACTACAAAGTTATTTTCATTTTAATATTTTAAGATTTCTTAGCATAAACAGTTTTTCTAACACATAGAACTTTTCCCATGTGTATCATGCAGGTTTGAAACATTTCTTCCATATTGTTGAGGGATTTTTAAATTTTGTTATTTACAGCCAATTGTACATCTGTGACTGACTTTGGTGATTGTCAAGGGAATATAACAGATTTCTGTCCAGAGAATATTGTTTGTGCATGCAAAGATGGAGAGCCTTTTTGCAGGTAAGTGGTTATATATGATGTAAAAACAGAGCAAGCACAATATATTGTAAATAATAATTCATTTTTTATTTTTGACATATTCAACAATGCAATATTTGTTTAAAATATTTTAATCTGAAATGGCTCCTATGCACACGGCAGAGTTGTTAGTCTCCCTAAAATATTTTAATCTATTGTTTTAAAAACAATATTCTAAAATTTTAAAAATTAACTGAGATGATTTATATTTTTATGAAGACAGCACCATTAAAAATTTCTCTCCTTAAATTTTTTATGCATAAGTTACATATATTCACAAATAAACTGTTTTACTGTTCTAAAGAAGAACAAACATTTCAGGTATGCTTCATTTTATGGAAAGCAATAATCCTGACATGTTATGTATGAAAATAAAGTTTTTTGTAAATCAAGATATATATTAAATACACTATGACTCCCCCTCTTTGTTTCTAGATTTATTTTTATGACTATATTCTTTGAATCATAGATAATTCTTTCTGTTAAAAAGAAGGTAGATTTTCTATTTTTTTCTAACCTAAAAATGAGAAGGGGTGGGTCAAAAATGAGAGCAAGATTTAGGGAAAAAAAGATAGTATAAGAATAAGAAAGAGTACATATATAAGAGAAATACAGGATAAGTGGGGAGGGGACAATAAGGAAAGGTTTCCCAGGGTCCATGTCTCTTGAACAGAATTTTGAAAACTGATAGTAAAATGACCAGGTGTAGGCAATGGGATCAGTATGGGCAAAGGCACTGAGGTGGGAGAGCATTTTGTGTTTGGAGAAATGCAGTTTGCACACCATTCTCTGGGCATACTGAATGACAGTATTTTCAGTTCCCCAAGTATACTATTTTTTCTCTCATCTTTGAATGTCTGCATATGCTACAACTTCTCTCTATTGCTCCTCATTCCCCTTCCCTCTCCAACACACCTCTTCTTCCCTTGACAAATTCCTATTTGATCTTCAAGACTAAGCTCCATCATATTGCTAATATAACACTTAACCCACTATACTGCAATGTCTTTGAAAGTAGGATATGTTTTCTCTTCAAGAGCACCAAAAAACTAATAATTTAGTCTTATTCATTGTTAGCACCTAGCACAGTGCCTGGCACGTAGAATGTGTTCTTTCAGGGTTTATTGAATGAATCAATCAGTCATTCAATGGGATTTATTGCTCAACAGTGCAAAATATTGAAAGAATATTGTAGAGAATGAGAAGTGATAAAAAGCCACTGGATTTAGCATTTAGGTGATAGCTTTTAGAATAATGTCCTAAGATTGATGTGAGGATAAAAGACAGATTGCAAAATTACATCCAAGGAATGATAAGCAAATGCAATACAGCAATGAAGAAACATATAAATCATTTGACAATTTTAATATTCATGGTTGTAAACTCAATTTGTAAACTCATAGTTGTAGGAATTCTAGAGTCATCTAATCAACATTTGGCTAATTACCCTTTACCTATCTTTCTAACCCTTATACTTATTTGCCTCATTTGTTTTATGTATTTATAATTGTTAATTATCATATCACATTAACATTATGCCTATTTTGAAGTTTTTCTCTATCAAGTTGATTCAAACAAGTTGCTACAACTTGTTTTACTGATGGATCTCAATGTGGAATATAACTGCTTGGGCTTGGTGTGCCTCTGTACATAAATTCCTGTCATGTTCTTTGGATATCTACCTGGTGACAAAAGATCATTTTTATTATTAAATACATTTAGCACAGTTTAAGTCAGTTATTTTAAAATTATTAATCAAAGTTAGGTACTAACAAATCAGAGTTGAATGTATCAAACTAAATGATGTAATCGTTATTTTTTTTTATTTATTTATTTATTTTTGGCTTTTTTTAAATTTCGGTATATGATGGGGTACAGATTTTAAGTTTTCAACAAATGCCCTTTCCCCCTCCCCCCACAAGTCTGGTTCAGCATACCATCCCCAGACGTGCACCTTCTCACTCATTATGTATGTATATACCCATCCCTTGCCCCCCTGCCCAATACCCTATACTGTAAGTAGCTTGTGTCCACTTAGGTGCTGCTCATTATTAATACAGTTGGCTCGGTGAGTATATGTGGGCTTGTTTTCCATTCTTGGATACTTCACTTATAGTATGGGTTCAGCTCTAACAGGAAAATATAAGATGTGCTATATCACCGTTGTTTTTAGGGCTGATATAGTACTCCATGTATACATTACACATTTATTAATCCATTCTGTATTGCATGGGCACTTGGGCTGCTTCCACAACCTTGCATATGATTGGCTGCTATAAACTTCGAGTGCAGTGTCTTTTTTGTAGAGTGTCATGGATCTTTTGGGTAGATGCCCAGCAATGGCGATTGCTGGTCAAATTGGTAGTTCACTTGTATCGCTTTAAGGTATCTCATATTGCCTGTCCACGAGGGTTGAACTAGTTTGCAGTCCCACAGCAGATGTAGGAGTGTTCTCTCTCTTGCCACGCAGCATTGTGTTCGGGGTCTTTTGATAAAGGCAATTCTCACTGGAGTTAAGTGTATCTCTTGTGGTTTGATTTGCATTCCTGATGATTAGAGATGTGAGCATTTTTCATATGTTTGGTTGGCATTTTCTTATCTTCTTTAGAAAAGTTTCTGTCAAGTCTTGCCCATTTTTTAGGGTTATTGATTTTTTGCTGATTTTAGGAGTTCTAGTAGATTCTAGTTATAACCCCTTATTGATGCATAGAGGCAAAAATTTCTCCCCTCTGTAGGTTGTCTGTTTACTCTCATTGATTGTCTTCTTTGCTGTGCAGAAGTTTTTAGTTTGATCAATGCCCATTTATTTATTTTTGTTGCTGTGTGATTGCCTTTGGGGAGTCTTCAGTAAGCTTTGCCCGTAGGCCGATGTCTAGGAGAGGTTTCAAATTTTCCTATAGATTCAATATTTCTCCTTGGTAAGTCGGTTATACCAGCATGGTGATTTTGTGAGAGGTGAAAGGTATGGGTCCTGCTTATAGCCTTCTACAGGGGATCCAGTTTTCCACACATTTATTAAAAGGGATTCTTTTCCCAGCGTATGTTTTTGTCTGCTTTGTCAAAGATTAGATGGCTATATGAGGATGGTTTTATATCAGGATTCTCACATCTGTTCCATTTGTCAATATTCCTATTTTTATGCCAATCCCAGATTGTTTTAATTACTACAGCTTTGTAGTATAGTTTGATATCTGGCATATTAATGTCTCCCATTTTGTTTTTGTTGCTTAGAATTGCTTTTGATATTCAGGGTCTTCTTTGGTTCCATATGAAGTGTAAAATTATTTTTTCTATATCTGTGAAGAATGCTGATGGGATTTTAATAGGTATTGCATTGAATCTGTAGATCAGTTTGTAATCGTTATTTTTAAGTTTTTAAAACATTTTAATAGCATCACTAAAATTGCCTAAGGACACACATAACACCATTACCACCCCCACCCTACACACAGATCTCTCTCACACACACACCCAACAGATGTTCCAAATAAATAAAATTAAAGAAGAGCTAACAAAAGCAAAATTGTAAATATATTTAAAGTTTGGCCAATAACATTGGCCAAACTAAGAACACATGCCCAATATATACTTCTAGTTGGAACAGTTAACCAATGTTCTAACCATTGTTCGCATTTCTCATACACCTACTGGTTAGTGAGAATAAAAATGTGAACCACATTTTAAATATATTTTCGTATAAAGGTTTTATTTCATATTGGTAATAGGAAGAAACAATTTTACATACTTTATAGGATTGCTGTGAACATTAAATAAGATAAAATATGTAAAATTCCTAGTATAGTAACCTGCTTAGAATGGTACTCCAAAAAGTTAGTTCATTTCTTCTCCCTAGCCTACATGATGCTATCTATGGCCAGTGGTACATTCTCAGTCCTCATCCTAACCTGTCAGCATCGTTTAACAAAGTTGGTCACTGTCTGTCCTTAAATTTTCACTTGGCTTCCAGAACATCTCTCTCTTCTCTGGTTTTATTCCCTCTGCCTCACTGTGTCAATTTTTCAATTTTCTTTTTTAGTTTCTTCTCTTCTCCCCACCTACTTAATGTTGGAGTGTCTCAGGGCTTAGTCCTTGGTCCTCTTTATTTATACTCCCTCCCTTGTTGATCTATCTAGTATCATGGGTTCAAATACCATCCAAACTGGAAAAATTCATACCTCTAGACTCAGAGATGTAACTGCATACTTACCATCTCCACTTAGATATCTAAAAATCAGCAAGTATAAAATCAGCAAATATAAAACCACCCCAAACCTGTTTTACCTGCAGTCATTCCTGCAACTCCATCCTTCCATTTGCTTAGTCCAAAAACCTTGAAGTTATCCTTCACTCATTTTTTTTCTTGCACACCCACTTCCTGTCCATCAGGCAATCTTGTTGGTTCTGCCTTTAAAAAGATAACCAGAAATCAACCATTCCTCATCCCCACCTTTACTGCTATCATTCTGTCCAACTACCATCATCTGTTGCCTAGATCATTAATCAGTTTTGTGACATTTCTCTCTGCTTCTACTTTTATAGCTCCTACAGTCTCTTTTCAATACAAAATTCCCATGACGTTTTTTGAAGAAATAGAAAAAACAGTACTAAAAGCTTTATACAATCACAAAGAACCCTGAATAGCCAAGTAACCTTGAACACAAAGAAAAAAGTCAAAGTCCATGCAATGACCTAAAGTCTTTTGTGATCTGTTACCTACTTCTTTGGCCTAACTTTCTACCATACTTTCCTAACTCACTGTGCTCCACCCACACTGGTTTCCTTGTGTTCTTCAAACATGTAGGGATACTTCTCCCTACTTTAGACTTTTTGTATTTGCTGTTTCTTCTGCTCGGAATTCCCTTCTCCCAAAATATCCTATGGCTAACTCCCTTACTTCCTTCAGTCTTTATTCAAATGTTACCTTCTCAACAAGGCCTGTCCCTTACTTCCCTATTATATCACTGCAACTTTCCCCACTACCCTGCCCCCTACATTTCCAAACCTCCTTACCCTGCTCTAGTTTTCCTCATTTCATAGCATTTATCAATTTTAAACATTATAGATATTAATAATTTACTAATTATGCTAATTTTTGTTGTCTGTCTTCCTTTGCTGCATTGTAAGCTACTTGAGGACATGGATCTTTGTTTTATTCATTGGTATATCTCAAGTGCCTGTAACAGTAGTACTTGGCACATAGTAGGCACCCAATAAATGTTGTAGAATGAGTGAAATATTATTGTATAATAAACAATTCATTTATGATTCATTCCTAGGATAAACAAGAAATATACTCTTGTAAAAGTCTTTTTCCAGGAAGAAATATATAAGGATGAATAAGATATATTTGAAAAATATGCTCTGACCTCCTTAAATGAATGACAGTATATTATATATTAAAAGCCATATCCTATTAAGTAGTTTATTACCTGTTTGAAGCTGGCAGATGTATTTTCTTAGAGAATCCTAGACAATGAGGGCTATTAAACATTATATTAATAGTAATCATCTAACTAATTCCTTCATGTCAGCCATGGTAGCATCTCTTAATAAAGTGGTTCCCCATTATCTGTGGTTCCACTTTCCATAGTGTCAGTTACCCATGGTCAACTGTAATCTGAATATGTTACACAAAATATTTTGAGAAAGACCACAGTCTTATAATTTTTATTGCAATATAGTGTTATAATTATTCGATTTCATTATTAGTTATTGTTAATTTCTAACTGTGACTAATTTATAAATTAAATTTTATCATAAGTATGTATGTAAAGGAAAAAACATAGTGCATATAGGGTTCAGTACTTTATGTGATTTCAGGCATTCACTGAGGGTCTTAGAATGTATCCCCTGAGGATAAGGGGGGACTACTGTATATCAGAACAACACAAACCAGGGGTAGCTTACTTTGAATCTGACATTTACGTTGTACATTTCTGATATAGAATTACCCATGTAATCTGCAGGAGACAATGAAGCAATCTCTAAAGACTCAACCTGAACAAATCTTGCCATTAGTCACTCCCATGGGGGATGGAGAGAAGTCATATTCTCCCTTTCCATAAACCCACTTTTCAATCTATGCATCAGGGAACCACATTCACATTATCTGGCAGGTCTAACGTCTTTATAAAAACACTAGAAGTTTATGTATGAGTCATTTATTTCTATAAAATAAAAGAAGAAAATCTGGAGTCATGGGAAAGATGGGAGCAGGCAGATTTTGCTGGCAGTTTATTCTTACCTTCTCGTGTTTCTTCTTGTATTTGCTGCATAATGGCAGAGTCTGTCTTTTAACCTGTATTCATCACTATAGGAGTGGGTGGGGGGAATGCTCAACCTGCAGTTACAGAACTAGTAGCCTAAACTGCTTCAGATTATTTTCACAGAAAAGAACTAGAGTAGCCAAAGTGAATACAGGGTATGAGTAATGGGCAAAATACAGATAGTTTTAAAAGCAATCTTAAGACAGCCATTCTGGGTGAGTCTTTTTTTTTTCCTCCATTTCTAAGTGCCACATTTTCATTAGCTAATGGTTGGGGAATCTTGACAGCCTTCTGCATACTGACTGAATGTATTCAAACCTGTAGGTTGTAGAGTGTTTGCTCAAATGGAAAATGGGACAACATAAATCTCTTGAGGGCCTTAAAGAGAAACCTCATGAATGAGTAACAATGAAATATATCATTCATTCAGGGGAAGCTATTTGTTTTTTCCTAATTAGTGAGCTTTTTCTATTTCTATTATCTCTATTTAGATGTCCAAATTTCAGAGGTCAGTGGAAAAATTATTGGTACATGGGGGCCAAATGTGACCAACTCTGGAGTACTTTGGACCTGATTTTAGTAGCAGTATTGCCTGGCATAGGATTGGCTTTAACAGTTGGTGTAACAATCCATACTATTCACTACTGTAAAAAGAAGTCAAAGAAGAATACAGATGATCACCGGTAAGAAATTCCTCAATACCACTGAGAATGAAATCTCTTGTGAAATCAGCAAATGAATCAAGAAATAATGAATATCATTTATTATGCATACAGCTGGTATGTTCTCTTTCATATTCATCAATATTTTAATTAACTTTGAACAAAAGTCAGGTTAACATTACCAAAGCAGACATATTTTGTTCAGGATTTGGATAAAGCAAAATCTGTAAAGTCCCTTCCCCAGATAAAAGCCAAGTGTAATTCACAAAATAATTGTCATACTTTAGTGCTTTCCTTCCACCAAGGCAGTATTCATGTGCACACATATGCTATCCTAATAGTGGGGGGAGGCTACCGTACCAATATCTTATACACACCCCTAATCCCAGCAACAATGCAGAGAAATGGAAAGAAGCATCCAATAGACTTGACTCTAATCTGACTCTGTCTTGGATAAGTCTGTTCATTTCACTTGGCTTCAATTTCTTGATCTATAAAATAGAGATGGCTATAATCAGGCCTACTTAGCTATCAGAGATGATGAGAAAGATACTGAAAGCAGCAATCATTTATTGAGGGTTTATTATGTGTGTCAGGATGAATTATAAATGTTTCACATCTTTCAAGACATTTAATCCTCACAACCCATAAAATACTGATGAGATTACTGAGACACAAAGAGATGAAATAACTTGGCCAAGGTTACAGGGCTAAGTCTGTACCCAGTCAGTCTGGCTACCAGGCCTAAATTCGTAAACCCTATGCTATGCTAATGGTATAATGAGATGAAACAGTGCTTTGAAAGCTGTAAAGTCCTATTGCATTCTTTGTTTAAATGCAAACAGTACCCTTTATATTTTGCACTATCTCTGAATGATAAGAGGTATGGGGGTTGATACCAGTATAGTAAAATCTCATCAATTTTATATCAGTCAATTTAAATTAGTATCTACTTTAAAATATCATTCCTAAGTGATAAGATAATATTGCCCTCTACACAGTACAAGAATAGTTTCAAATACTACCTTAACATTGAAATTGGTTCATGCTATAAGCCTCATACTCCTAAGAATAAGCTTATGAATTGTAATAAAATCAATAATTTGAACAGCTTTAGATATTTGTCTCTGGGAAGAGTGAGATAAACTCTCCAAACTCATTGTCATTTCAAAACCCTAATTCCATATTCTTTAAAGTACCATGTGGTATATATGTATATATGCATAAGATCAATGTAAATAAAGATTACTTTTATAAATTTAAATTAATGGGGAGAATTTCATATCACCACTTGACATAGGTTGGAACCCCCTGAGATATTAAAGAATCATTATGATTAGAATTCATACCGGTAAACATGTTACTTTTTAAGTATTCTCAATAGCTTTCATATTCCAAAGTTTTGTAGAACACTGTATGTATATTCCAGTCCTCTCTATTCTGCTAATTGGCTATGATTTTGAGTGGATCACTTAGCCCGTGTTTCCTCCTTTATAAATAGGGAAAGGGGTAATGTATATCCGACTTCCCTATAGTTGTGAGATTCAAAAGATATAATTAATGGAAAATCACGTTAAAAAAACAAAGGTAAAGTTGCATTGAAAACAAAGGCAAAAAATGAAGATTATAAATCAGGATAGTAGTAGTGTTCACAAGCATTTTGGTTTATGTATAGACTTTTTGAGTAAAGAATAAGATGCCTTAGTTTCTTCCAGTTAAAATGCAATTTAGTTTGAGCTCATTGTTTTCTCCATGTGCCATTCCTTGAATTGTGAATTTACAAAGTGACTCTAAATATACTTTAGAGATTCCTTAATGTGGTGGAAAAAGTATGGACAATGGAGCCAGAGTGGGACTCAAATCCATGCTCCATAAATCATTGACTATATAGCCTACGGGAATTTTCTTAAAGTTTCTCAACCTCCTTTTTCTAATCTGCAAAATGAAGTTAAATACATATCTTGCAGGCTGATTTTTTATAAATATTCAAGTAAGAATGTAATTTTTTGAAATATACTGATGTCAGCAACTTCCAAATGTGTTAAAAATGAGATGGATTAATGGATGGATAGAGGAATGGATAGATGGACAAATACATGTTAAAGCAAGTATAGTGAAATATTAATGGTAAAATAGAGGTGGTGGATATATAGGCATTCACTGTGAAATTCTTTCAACTTTGCTATGTGTTTAAAGGTTTTTATAAAAAAATGTTGGGTGAAATCAGATTATGTTAAGTAAAGCACCTTGAACACAGAAAACATTCAACAAATGGTAGCCAATATTATTGCTTTCTCTTGGGTACAGTCTTAAAATGGGAGCATTAATTCTGTATTGTCAAAAGCAGAGTATCAAAAACATGATTTATGACCAATAAAGCAAATGCCTTGTTCTATTTTTTCTTTTCTTTTCTTTTCTTTTCTTTTCTTTTCTTTTCTTTTCTTTTCTTTTCTTTTCTTTTCTTTTCTTTTCTTTTCTTTTCTTTCTTTCTTTCTTTCTCTTTCTTTCCTGTGCCAAGGAACAGAGGCATTCATCAGGACTCCAACCTCAGCATAATTCTGCACAGGCTTTTGATACTGATATGAGGCCTCCACAACCTGATCAAGGCCAGGTAAACACTGAAACTCATTTGTCAAATAAACTAAGTTTACAAAAGACACCGTGGAGGGAAATGCCTTGTAAAAACAAAAAGAACTTTGGGTAATTAAGGAAGTAGCTAGAAACAACAAAATGAAGTGTTATCAGAAGATCAAATTCACAAATATGGGATGGTTGATGACAAGTAGATCAGCACAGTACAGGCCAAGCCTGGGACAATTACACTGAGATTACTCTCTACTTCTACCCATCATTTGTTTCCAGGTAAAATCAAGTTAAAACACATTATCACAGGGGAAAGGAAGTCACTAAAAGAAGGCTAGAAAGATATGGATAAGAGGACAAGGATATATATGTATATGTGTATATATATATATATATATGTATATATATATATGAAAATCTCTCCTCATCTAACACTATGTTCTCAGCAGCACAGATCGTCTGAAAAAGAAGACTTGTAGACGTGTCTTTAATTCATTGTACTTTAGGAACAGCTCTGAATAAAGAATGGATGTCATGTTGGACCACAGATATCAGAAACAGCAGCAGTGCTTTTATTGTTTTAAATCAAATAGATGATCACAAGTAAAATACAACAAAATCACTTTTGTTATGACATACTAAGTCTTAGAATATATCCAATTATGATCTCTATTTTTTAAGGAAGTAAGACCTACATTGAGAATAAATAACTATCAATACAACTTCAGCATAATTCTACATATGTTTCTGTTATGGCACTGTCTTAATAACATCAAGGTCAGTTAAACACTGAAACTCATAAAAACATTTATTATAATAATCAAATAAACACTTCTGAACCACTACCTTACTTAAGAAATAAAATAAAAGGTGATGAATAAAGAAGAGTGGTCAAATACTTACTAGCTGAAATCAAAACAATTACATATTGGAACTTAAATTACAGTATGAAGGGTTTGAGATATAGCATTTAAAAAAAAGGTTAAAATTCTCTACTGAATATGCTACTCTGAATATTGTTGATGTTCCTAAACGGTTAAACTCTAAGACTGTCAAATGATTTGGGTTGCCTTTTCTTCCTTTAGAGTGACCAATTATTTTGTAGATACAACTTAAGAGTTAGAGAACCAAACAGGTAGGAGGCACCTTTCCTTTTGTAAGGATTCATTTATTCTTATCCTCCCTAGTTAATTCTGCCATCCACCTATTTTTCACATCTCCAAGTTGACCTCATCTTTTCTCCTCTCATCATCTTTTTCTTACTCAATGCTATACAAACTCTAATTGTGGATAAAATTCATGAGGAAAGCCAAGTACAATGCCTATCATTTATTGGCTATTTTCAGTAAATATTACTCTCCCTTTCCCCATCTCAATCTTCCTGTTGCTAAATGGCTGCTACATTTCTTGTTACACCTGAATACTTACACTGTGGACACTTTCTCTTCAGTGCTGTAACTATTTCCTAAACTTTAGTTAACTGGGGAAGCCACAAGTGAACCACAAGGCCTGTCTCAATCTAAAATATTCTTCTTTCAGATTGTTTCCCAATGTCTGGAGAATTAGAAAACAGAAATAGACTACAGGTTAACAACCTTAATAGAGAAATAGGAGACTTTCAAACTGAGTTAAACTGTTTTGAAAGGTGTCCAGATGCACTGTGCTCTGAACATTTTAAATGTATGTTCAGAACACAGTGTATCCCATAATATGAGGAAATAAAAGGAAAAATTGTTTAAAAAATAAAAAATAAAATGTTGACTTTGGCAAGTAATGACTTTTTAGAAGCTAAGGCTCAGATCAGGTTTCCACAGAATTAAATAATGCTTTTTCATGCAAATTCATCACTATTTTCTTTATTCATCTAGCTCACATACACAACCAGGAACTAATAAACAAAGCTTGAATTCATTTTTTAATTGTCAATGTTATTTTTTCTAATTGACTTAGCAATTAGATTTGAGTGGGTAGAAGTAAGAATACATACTTGCTACCTCTTTTTCACCTCACCCCCACCTCTACTTTTACATTTAGCATAAAGTAGCTTATAGCATTCAAAGTCATTACTATCCTAGCATAAGCCTATAATTAGAAACCCCAATATATTCTGTAAATCTTTGACAGAAAGATGTGCTGCATAGTTTAGTCCTGTGAGAAGAATTCACCATTGCCTTTGTTGGTTATTTTTCATTGTTCTTGTAAATAATTTTCAAAAATTTACCTGCCTTTAAAATGAAGCTTACATGGTTCAGACTTTTCTACTAGATAAAACATGTTTGAATTGCTTTCACCTGGTGAAAATATATAGCAATTATGCCAGGAGGAAAAAAACTACATTTGTTAGAGACCCAAGTAATAGACATATTTTGAAGAGCATAAAAATTAATACTAGTATAGCTTAAAGAGCATAAAAAAGATTTAACCATATAATAGAAGCAACAAGTATGGAGAAATGCTCACTGAAAAGGAATAACATTTGGACTAACAATCACATTTTCTAAATTTGGCAGTGATAATCACAAATATACCAAATTGTTGACTTTATTATATTTTCAAATAGAATAAATTGAAACTAGGAGGAGACAATGAGCTAAGCTTAAATTATCCATTTACTAAATACAGGAAATTATTCTTCCTAGATAATAATATGAAAATAATATCTAATTAAAATATTCTTTACATACCTGAGAGTATTATAAATTAAATAATTTCTCATTAGAATTTGTTAATATTATCTTTAGTTAGTTAAATAGTATCAACCAATCCATAGTAGATAGCACTGTGCAAATTGTGATACTCTCCAGACCATCACTACACTTTCAATATGCAATATCACTGGATATATACATTAACTCTACCTTTAAGTAAATGATTAGTGACTGTTTCATGAATATTAGTATAGTTAAATCCCTATTTTACATCACTTATGCAATTCGTGAAATGAGTTTTTCCAAGACAACCAGTTATGTAAAGTGTACTAGAAATCAGCAAGGTAGAAATAACATCTTTCACCATGATTATTTTTTTCAACACTCCAATGTTTTGCTTGAAAAATATATTAAATTGGCCAGAAACACTAAAGAAATCTTAGTGTTATCACTTAATTGAAAAGGAAATATTTTTCTGTGGCATGTTGTTTTTGCTTTTTTCACATCAACAGTGAAATATGGAAAATATTAGCTTAATTGGGTTAAAAGATGATTTAAAGTAATCTATGCACTGATGAAAAGCTGTTAGTATATCTTGTTAGCTTAAACTAATGTCCACAGCAGGAAAGAACAATTAACAAAGTCATGAATTATCCTTCTGCTTTCATGTTCATTTAAGTCTTTGTTTTGGTTTGTATAAAGCCAAGTTTCATGGCTTGAGAAAATCATGAATTTTTATATAAATGTTTTAACTGAGTTTGGATTCTAGTGTAAAATGCAAAACCTGTGAAAGTCAAACACTTACAAAATGCAAATGCATTTAATAGTAGTTTTTAATCAAGAAACAATATTTAAGGTCGGTTGTGGTGGCTCATGCCTATAATCCTAGCACTATGGGAGGCTGAGGTGGGAGGATCATTTGAGCTCAGGAGTTCAAGATCAGCCTGAGCAAGAGTGAGACCCCATCTCTACTAAAAATAGAAAGAAATTAGCTGGGCAACTAATAATATATAGAAAAAATTAGCCAGGTATGATGGCGCATGACTGTAGTCCAGCTACTCGGGAGGCTGGAGACAGAAGATTGCTTGACCCCAGGAGTTTGAGGTTGCTGTGAGCTAGGCTGATGCCAAGGCATTCTAGCCAAGGCAACAGAGTGAGACTCTGTCTCAAAAAAAAAACAAAAACAAAAAAACAAACAAACAAACAAACAAACAAACAAACAAACAAAAAAACACACCAATATTTAAAATAAGAAGAAAGAAGTTAGCTCTTTTGTTAGAAGTCTAGACGGGATCATTTGTAAATTTGATATCTTTCATTCAATTGTGAACATTGCCTGAAACAAGCACTGGGCATACAATAGAAACTAAATAAATGCTTGCATACATGAATAAATGCACGAACGAACAAATACTCCCAATGAATTTTATTTTACTATGTGTATAAATTTTCATATGTTGTCATGTATGTCATATGTTGATGATCTGGTCACCAAAAACGGGGCTTGTAGAGTTAAGAAAATCATGCATAACTGGTGATTTGAAACTAAGAAATACTGATAGAATAATAGGTGCTCATGGTTATGAGCTATAAATGCAAGTCACTGATTACAAGGGGACCAGACATGAGAATTGGCATAAATCAGTGTAAGCCTATTCCCAGTACTGTATTGTAATCACAAGACAAAAGGCTGTTTAAAAGTACATTAGTGATCTAGTTAGAACTAAATGTATCTTTTATTGTTTGTTGTTTATTTTTCAATCACATAAGATTGAATTCATGGATAATATTGAAGCTTAGCTGTGAATATTTATTTTTATAATAGCATCAGCACATTATTTAACTCCTGTATTTTCTCATATCTTTATTTCAAGGATGTTACTGAAGTACAGTTAATTAATATATAATTGTAATTTGTAATATCATTCAAATGTCTTCATAATTAGAAAATCTTTCCATTCCAACTCTTCTGCTCAAACTATGATAAGAAAGTCTATGTTTTTTTGCTTATAGATATAAAAGTATAAATACCCTAAGCCTGAAAAAATAACAAAGTGTCTCTAACATTCAGAAACTTTACTCTTATTAAAGATTCCTAAATTAAAAGAGTGATTAGAAAAGACATTGTTATTTGTCTAGATTCTAAAAAATGGGGACAAAACCCACCAACCTTGGGGTAACTATGTACAGTACCAAAATATTCACTAAATGTGGGCTATAGTTAGCAATCTCTTGCTTATGAAATGAAGAATAAAGCCTCTCGTAGGTATTTCTACATGCTCTGCTCAAGAGAGGATTGTATTAGGCAAACAAATCCTCCCTCATGTTTTGTGAGCATTAATGTCTAGATTGCAAGAATGACTTAGATAA